AGAATTACTTATAACAATATGCTGTAATTAAAGTTACGTGACTGTGATCTCTCTCTTTCAAAATATCTTACTGTACTGTATTCACCTATTTTCAGATAGTGGTTGACTGTGGGAAGCTGAAACCATGGACAAGTGAAACCACAGATAAGGGGAGACTACTGTATGTGCTGAAGAAGTAATAAACACAATGTACTGTGTTGGCCAAGGATTAAATGTAATTGTGTAATAACATTTAATTATATACCCTAACTTCCCTGAGTCCCACCCCTTTGAATCCTGCTTCCCTCCCCACCTAGATAACAAGAACATTTCCTTCCTCCATGAAGCTTTCCTTTTCATTTTCCAACTAGCACCTACTTATACGTACCCTTTAAAAAATGTATAACTGTCAGAGAAGGTTGTTACATGTGAGAAATATTTTGTCTTTTGCAGGGCAAAATTGCTCAATTAAGAGTTTGGCGATTTTGGCAGGCAAATTATCAGAGAATAACAACAGCACTCACCGTCCTATTGACTTGTGGTTTGTTTGTATCCTAAGGTAATACTCAGTGGGTCAAAGTGTGGAATTAATTGTGTAAATATTACATTTTCTCCATAAGGACATGGAACTTGTAGCCTATTCTAATAAAATTTCCTTAAAAACACTCAAGGGGGAACACTGGCACCAGAGGTTACAAACCAGGACTAACAGCTGTGCTTAGAACAATGGAAGGGTTCCGCTTCGGGAGTGGCACCTTGAGGTGCTCCAGGGACATGCTCCTCAGTGAAGCAAGTCTAACTGGTACAAATTATTTTTAAAAACCCAACCGTTGGAATTGTCCTAAAGGGCATACAGTAAATGAAAGGACATTTATTCACAGAAATCTGAACCTTGCTAAGGAATAGTGAGAGTCTATGACACTTTAAATCATGACCTGCTTCCTTCCTCTCCCCTGACCCCCTGCTTAGGTGTATGGAGGCTTCACTCCAGGTGGGTGTGGCCAAAAAGAGGGGCTCCCTTTCAGCTCCTAATCAAGGGATAAGGTATCTCACCAGGAGAGATAGACAGCACTTCTTATCCTCTCCAACTTTGAGGCCCAAATTTTTAAGGAATCAAATACCATTCTTCACAAACTCTTCTCTAGAGGGAAAAGAGGAAGAAACACTTCCTAACTCATTCAATGAGGCCAGTATTACCCATACAGCAAAATCAGACACAGACATCACCAGAACACTAAAAACTAGTATCTCTTATGAATATAGATGTGAGAATCCTCAACAAAATACTAGGAAACCAAATCCAGCAACACATAAAAGAGATTATATTAATACAATATGACCAAGTGGGATTTACTTCAGGAATGCAATGTTGGCTTAATATCTGGAAATCCACATCCATAAATCACAGTAAAATGCTGAAAACAAAAGACAGAGAAAAGATTTTAAAAGCAGTTAGAGAAAAACAACCGTACACTTATAACAGAGCCCCAATAAGATTAAGACCTGACTTTCATCAGAAATAGTGTGGGACATATTCAAAGTGGGACATATTCAAAGTGCTGAAAGAAAAAA